TTTTTTTAAAGGAGAAGGTAATCTGTCAGCCTCAAATTTTAAAACCAGATTGTGACCCAGTGCAAAAAGAATAACATCTAAGTTGAAGCAGGAAACAGAACAGGAAAAAAGGATGAGGTGTGGAGCACTTGATTCCAATCCGATTCCAAAACTTGGAGATCGACCACACAGAAGATCGGGAGTAAGGTCACTATATAGAACAGGCCTGACCTCCTTTCTGAGCCTAAATTTGAAAGTACAACTGGTTCTACTTGTCTCTCTGGTCCTCCCCCTCTCCCCCCAAACAATGATTAGGGTTGCCAGCTCCCCTCATTGTAGGGGGACTTGGGGGCATTCTGGGGTTGGGTAGGGACGTCACACCATGTCCCCAGTGCAGTGAGGTCACCTGAAAGTGATGTCATCATGTTGGGGACGTCGCACGGGGACGCTCTGGTATTTGGGTGAAACTCTGTGGGGGGGTGGGGTTTCATCCTCAAACTGTAGAACTTGCCCAAATACTCGAGCATCCCCGCGCGAAGTCACCAGCACAACGACATCACTTCCAGGTGACAGCATCATGTCAAGGACGTCACACGGCAACATCCCTGTTTAGGGGCAGAGTTTCCTTCGCCAGCCAGCTGGTCCACAGTGGGGAGAAGCCCCTGAAATAGGGGGATCCCCCACCTGGACCTGGGGGCTGGCAAGCCTAACTATGATGAGTGCCACATTCTAAGCCTGGGGAGTGTATTTAGGTCATTGAGAGGCCTGAATGGCCTTTTGTTAAATTCTTGTCCACCCATTAGATTGTTAGGAGAACTGTACCAATTCATGATCATAACCAGGGCTCTTTTTGTAGAAAAAGCCCAGCAGGAACTCATTAGCATAATAGGCCACACCCAACACCAGAAACTCATTAGCATATTAGGCCACACCCCTGCCAGCACAGCTCATTAGCACATTAGGACACACCCCCATGTTACCAGAAGTGTGGTTATCCAGCCACACCCACCTTTTGCTTGTTATTCTGTTTACCTCCAGGGCTTTTTTTGTAGCAGGAACTCCTTTGCATGTTAGGCCACACACCCCTAATGTAGCCAATCCTAACGAATTTCTGCTGGCCTATTATGCTAATGAGTTCCTGCTGGGCGTGGCCAACTTGGGAGCCAGCCGGAACTCTGTTCCTGCCCAAAAATAGCCCTGATCATAACAGCAGCAAAGCTCATAAACATAGGGTTGCCAAATGGAACTTACCCTTGTGGCGGGGGACTCCAGCCCGGCTCCCGGCGTGCCACATGCAAGTCACAGGGAAGTGACGTCATGACGCCGGGCACGCTGGGGCAGGGCCACAGCCATTTGAGGGGAAAACTCTATGTTTTCCCCTCAAATGGCTGTGGCCCCGCCCCCAGCGTGCCCGGCGTCATGACGTCACTTCCCTGTGACGTGCACGCGGGGGTGGGGTTTCCCCTGGGGCCCGATTCTGCCGCGACGGAAATCGGGCCTCCAAAGCGGGGGTTTCCCCGCCCCCCCAGCCCGATTTGGCAGCCCTACATAAACATTATGTATGCATGACTGTTGTATGCTGCAGCAGTCCAAGATAAAGTTCATGAATGGCAGTAAATGAATATATCTTTCCTCATTTGACAGACTAGGCCCGATATCAACACTGTAGCTGCCATGTCCCAGGGCCTACAGGGGACCAGCCTCTACTCTGTTAGCTGCCAGCATGCGGCAGTTATCCTCATCCTCACCACCAGTCCTCTCTCTCTCTGAGCAGCCCAAGTAGTAGCAGCATTGGGCTCCCAGCCTCCTCCCTGGACCTCCGCCCTGTTTGAGTGTATGAACGGTGCAGTTCCACTTGTGCTACTCTTAGGAGCTCTCAGGAGGAGGAAAAACAAGAACAAAACTTGCACAAAGTTAGCATTTGTGGATGCAAATTTAGACAACATTGCTATAATTTAAATAGAAATACAACTCACCATAGTGGCCACTCTGTCTGTTTCCCAAGTGCTAATTGCTGAGGGGGAAGTCTTCAAGGCCCCAGCTCTCCCTGCTTATGTCTCTTCAGCCACCTAATCATTCACCCCAAACAGCCTGGTTAACTTTAGCAGCCCTTCTTCCGACTGCAGGTAACTCTGGGGACTAGAGTTGCCAGCTCCAGGTTGGAAAATACCTGGAGATTTTGGGGGTGGAGCCTGAAGACAGCAGGGTTCGGGGAGGAGAGGTACTTCAGTAGGGTATAACGGCTTCCAAATTAGCCATTTTCTCCAGGTGAGCTGATCTCTTTTGCCTGGAGATCAGTTGTAATGGCAGGAGATCTCCAGCTACCACCTGGAGGTTGGCAACCCTAGTGGGGACCCTTTAGCTATTTAGCAATCGAGTCTCCACAGCAACATCGGCTGATTTTACTAGCAGAAGCAGAATCTAGACCTTTCTGGCCCCCAAAAAGGGGACCATTCTTTGAAACAAAGAGGGCATCTGGTGACCCTACACACACACCCCCACGGATGAACAGTTGACTGAGCAGCACTAGCAACCGGGAGCTGCTTATCCTACTCCCTTTGGGCAGCAATAAAAGGAGAGGACTTGTCTTAAAGGGCTGGACCTCCTTCCCTCATCTGATGCCTGCCTCACTGCCTTTGATGTTGGCAGGTGTCACCTTCTCTTCCTCCACCTGTGCTGCTGTTAAACAATGGACAACCACAGATGCTGCTCAGCACCATTAAATCACCCACCTGAGCAAGAGGGGTTGGCAGCTAGAAATAGCCACCACCTGCTGCCCAGAGGGAGAGGGGAAGGTGAGCAGGTGATGGGGGCAGTTCCTAGTAGCAGCCATTCCTTCTTGCCTTCTCTGGCGATCGGAGGTGGTGTCGACCACCACTGCCTGCCCAAAGGAGGTGGCAGCAGGGTGAGGGCGGGGGCATCTTACAGCATCTTGCTGAGCACTGCCCCCACCCTCCCCCTCCCCTAAAGCCTGCTGTATTTCAAACATACTCCAGTGAATGCTGGCAATGGAAGTTAGGAATGGTGAGATTTTGAATATTCAGGGGTCGTTTCGTAGAAAAAGAGCTAGGGGAACTCATTAGCATAACTCATTAGCATATGCCACACCCCCTGACATCACCGGAAGTGTGTCATAAGGCCACACCCCTGACATCACCGGAAGTGTGTCATAAGGCCACACACCGGTCCCGGCCACCGCTGCCGGCCTTGCAGCTCCACTGCCGAGCCCCCTGAGGGGCCCGGCGGTGGACCTGCAAGGCCGGCGGGAGTGCAAGGAAGCCCCACGAAGGCCCTCCCTGGCCCCAGGCAGGCAGGGGTGGGGAGAGGCAGGGAGGAAGCAACTTACCCTCCCTCTTCTCCTGCCTCCTCCTGGCTGAATGAGGGCCGGAAGCGGGGCAGCCGGAAGCAGGGGGTGGGGCTTCGTCATGTGCCCCCCCATACCTCACCCGAGGGAACTGCGATCCCTCACGATCCCCCCCGAAATGACCTCTGTGAATATTTATACAATCCACCTAGGATTGTCAACACTGACCAAAACTTGGATATTTGCTATCGCATATGGAGCATATGTGGCTTGGTGTTTTTTTTAAATGCTTTAAAAAATACTGTAGTTTTTAATTGAAGCTGCTTCAAGCAGGACTCTGGTGTAATGGCTGTACAGCGAAATATCACAGCAAATCACAGACAATGTATAATATTGTATGCTTTGGCTTGAATTCAGACCCATGTTTCTGTGGGGACAAAAGACCTCTGCCCACAAAACAGGATTTTCCTGCCTCTCCCCTCCTGGGGCAGCCCCAAATGCCCCCAGTCATGTTCTTGGGCCTTCTCTTCCCAGGAATAGGATTCTGAGTGGGATTTCAAGCCAGATCCAGGTTGGAGAGAAGCTCCTGGAGATTTGGGGATGGAGCCTGGGGAGGACAGGGTTCTCAGTGGGGTCCAGTGGCATAGAATGCAGCCTCCAACGTATCCATGTTCTCCAGGGGAAATGATCTCTGTAGACTGGAGATGAGCTGTAATTCCAGGCGATTCCTACCCCTCCCTTGTGGGTTTTTTTTTACACTGCATAATTCACTTTTTTTAACAGGGGTCTTTTTGTAGAAAAAGAGCCAAATTCTATCCCCAAGGCGTTTACAATGCCAAATGTACATCCTGCTTGTAAAATTGATTCTGTACACTCCAATTTTGGGTTCTGTGGTTGTTTGTTGTCTGTTTTCTGCCTGTTGTGGGAGCTTGGAAGGGGATGGGGGGGTATCTGTGGCTGGGTTTCTTTAGTTCTATTTTTGTTTTGTTTTTGTTTCATTTCTTCCCTCCTTAAACATCTGGCATATTTCTGTCTATCCTGTAGATCTATTGCCTCCATTGATGATTGTCATTCATAGGATTTTTAGTGATTTCAGTATTTTATTTGGTATATTGATATAATGGTTTTGTTGGCTGATTTGGAACCCTTTGGCTGAAAGAAAGCTTTAATAAAATCAATAATCCCTAAATAAATAATTGCTATCTCAATATTGGGCTCTCAGTTCTCAAAGCCGTTCATGTATCAAATGTAATATGCAAATATAAAACCAATTTGTTTTGCCTTCATACCCTTGTTTGCGTAAAAGCCCTGAATCCAATTGCATAAGGGGGAATGTGCATGTTGCTGTATTTGGTATATAAATTCAATCTGTGAAAAATGCTTTGGACTCTTTGCCTTCTGTGAGATTTTAAAGTTTCTTACTTTGTTACCACATCAAAGATTATCACCTTTCCCCCCTGCCTTTCCTCCAAAACAGCACAGGGGCATGGTTACTTCCTCCAGTTTGTCCTCCAAACAAGCCTGTGAAGTAGGTTACCTGAGAGAGAATGACCAGCTCAAAGTCCTGCACTGATTTGCATGACAAACAGGGATCTGAACGTGGCTGTCCCTGTCCCAGTTCCAACACTGAAACTGCTACGCTGCACTGGTGGAATCGTGAAAATGCCAGTTGTGATAAAGTGATGGTACAGCTAATTCTGTTGGGTTCTGTTCACAGGTCTGAAGCGCAGCTACACTTGTAACATCTGTAACGTCACTCTAAACTCAATAGAACAGTATCATGCACACCTGAAGGGCTCCAAACATCAGACCAAGTGAGTATTTCTTTATGATGGCCGGCCAGCAGACTTAGGCCAGTGAGGGAGGCTGAGCAAGACCTAAGAACAAAATAAAGAGAGAGCTTTGGATGGCAGTCCCAGATAGTCATAATGGCTGGCCTCTCCTCTGCCCGTAAATGGCTGACCAGTTGTGAGCTGAATTCACAAATGCTTGGGGAAGGCAGGGAGGAACCTCTCTTGGCACTGAGAGTTCTCAGATGGCTTGCATCCTTTTGGTGCATGTGGGTTCTTGCATGGCTGCTGGGGAGTTTTTGAGAGCCAGTATATTGCTCCATTTAGATGTTACATGCTCTGCCGCTACAGTAGCAGCAGCTTGTAGAGTGGGCTACAGGGGCTATCCCAGCTCCCACCACTGAATACCACTGGAGGGGGAGTGGCAGCCTTACCAGTGGGCAACAGGAGGTGGTGATGGAAATGCCAGACCCACACCTCCGGCACCCTGTGCTGCCAGGCATGCCACTACTGAGTGGCAAGTAGAACCTGCCACATCCAGGGTCTGCTAGTAGCTGTGTGCCTACACAGTGCCACAGCCAGGGCCCCAACAGTTGTCACCACTTCCCAACGCCTGCTAGTAAAGGTGCCGCCTCCTCCTCCGCTTCAGTAGTGTTTAGTGGCAGGGGCTGGGATATTCCCTGCAACCCAACTCATGAGCCGCTGCTGCCTTAATCTACAATCAATGCCAGCCTTTTTCAAGAGCTTTGAGGAATTTGGATCATGCATGCACAGAATTGGCATATGCCCTCATAATAGTGTCAGTTTTAATTTTCAGGGGTAAGAAAACTTATCTCAGAATTCAGCTGAGTATCCCAATCTGAGTAAATTCTCATATAAACTCTGCTATTTTTGAACATTGATGCCATTGAACACTACCACCCAGTAATGGAAGCCTAAAATAGACTCGTGTAGCAGGAGGTGGTGGTGGAAGGTGCCATCAAGAGACAGCCGACTTATGGCAACCCTTCAGGGTTTCCAAGGCAGGAGACGTTCAGAGGTGGTTTGCCATTGCCTTCCTCTTCATAGCAACCCAGGACTACCTTGGTGGTCTCCCATCCAAATACTTATTAGGGCTGATCCTGCTTAGCTTCCAAGATCTGACATGATCGGGCTAGCCTGGGCCATCCAGGTCAGGGTGTAGCGGGAGGTATATTCTGAAATATCATGGGGTACACCTGTCTTGAAACCACTTCAAAATGCAGGGTGTGGAACATTTTGTCATGTGGTTCCTCACTTATGCCACCACCCTTTTCAGAATGTGTAGATTGGTCCCAACCTTGGGAGAGGTTTTTTCTTAGCAGTACACAGTTCCAACTTCCCCTTCTCCCCCATGTTTCTTGCCTAGGTATTTCTTTGTCTTTTCTAAAAGAAAGCACAAAATGTACTTGCTATCTGCCCCTTTTGCTGTCCTGCAGTGGAAAGAATCTTTCTTTCCTTAGCAATGTTCTGTATTTTTTTTCCTTGTAATTTCCTCCGTGTATCACATCTATTCACAGCATCTCCAAATATGAAAGGCCTTGACTCTGGACCAAGACCTTTCCATTCCATTTTTTTTATTGTATCTATTCTTCAGAAGATGCAAATGATTTTTCTCCTGGCCTCTTGTACCTCTTGGGCTGAAACTACCAGCGCTGCTTTATTAAGAGGAAGGAAAGCTTTGGTCTGAAGGGGTTTGTGGAAAGTTAACCTTACTTAAATTGGACTGCCGGCAGCACAGGTGGTCAGAGTGAATTATAAGGAAATGGCCAATATTATGACTATAAAACTAAACCTGATTGTACTGTACTGTAGCTCAGTTAATGAACCACATTTGCAAAGCAATTTGGCTTGGTGCTAAGAAATTTTTACACTGGATGCAAATTCACACACTCTTCTCCAAACTCACATTTGAGAGTATTTGGAGCATTTACCTGTGTGTGGTAGGTGTGACAGCAGCCCCTGCTGTCATTCCCCCACCCTCAATAATTTGAGGAGCAGGGGGGACAATGGGGGAAATGGCAGTGTTGGGGAAACTCTAGGAATCTCTGTGGTAGAGACCATACAAACTGGGGGGATTCCTACAGCATCACTGGAAGTATTTTTGCATCCATCTAAGCTTCACATGGAAGTGATGTAACATCCACCATGCCACTCTGGGAATTTCCCCAGTCTCTGGGAGGTTAAAGCTTGGTCCACCATCCCTGCACCCTTCTCACAGTGACCTTATAATTAGTTGCTGACCAGGCTGTAGGATTTGAGATGGTAGCACACCACAAATTGAAAATGATCAATCAGAACAACTTCAAAGTAGAAAGTCATCAAATCCCAGCTACTACATGTTCTACTACAGATCTGCTTCTCAAAAGACTTTGACCATTTTGTGCCTGTTTCGTTTTAGGGGTATGCCTCTTAACATTTCTCTGAGTGTAGTTGCTATTTTCATGTTTTGGATCCCTTTCCTTCATTGGCCTGTAATTCCTTTCTGTTCTTTTCTACCAGGTTTAACTAGGAATTGAAACAATTAATTTCAGAAACTGAAGCATGAACAGTTTATCACATATCTCAGTTCCTTCAGTTTGTTTGTGTCCCTCTCTCACCCAGGTTTCCAAAGTTCATGTACCATTTAGAAAAAACATTGCAAAAGTAGAGTCTTGATCTCATCATAACTCATTAGCATCTTGCTACAACTGTAGGTGCCATCACATAATTAGAACTGCTCATTTGCAGTGGACTACATGAACCTGTACATTTTAGGGTTTTTAGAGTACAAGAAGTCCATATAATTTCTGCTGAAATTCTTTTTTTAAGGAGAGTTTTGGCAACTTTTTAGTCAAATAAAATATACCTGGTTCATACCTGCTATTTTTAGCATTTATAAATTGACCATAATGTCTCCTGGCTTTGTCAGTGAAGTTTGCAAATTATATCAAATCAGAGGATACAAATTCCTAAGCTGTTTGCAAAGTGCTTTTCCTGAAACCAAACATTTTCAAGCTGTTTAATCCCTAATCTGCCAGCAGCTGCAGGTCAGGGAAAAAGCTACTTGATTCCCAATCCCTGAATAAGAAGCATCAGTATCTGTTTTTTTCTACCAACATCCATCTGTAAATCAAACATGATTGGTAGTAGCCCAATGTTATTCCCTGGTTTAGAAGAACCCATCCGAACCAACAGAGTTTAAATTGAACAAGGGACCAGCAAATGTATGAAATTCTGTTACGTCCCTACTTTTTTAGTATTTTGTCAATGTAACACAGAGTGGAATAACAATGCAAATGAAAAAAGATAGTGAAAGTTGTGGAAAACTGTGTATTCATAGAACCCTGTACAAAATTCAGAAATAAAATTTTAAAAAGATTGAACCGTAGAGGATCCCTGATGCATTAGTTCCACACTTTGGAAACAAGACCATGTAATTCAGAATTCCAAAATTCAGGAAGAAACTTGGAGTATTTTGGAAGCATCCTGAGGTTTAGAGAGACAGAGCAAGTCTCTGAATCCCCAGTGGGCAAGCCTTTCATTATATCCAGCAGAGTAGAGTAGCACATGCATTTTACATCATCTCGGCCATCAGGGTATTAAACCTTCAAAGTTTTATAATTGGCCATTACCCTCCACAAAGGCAAAGGATTATTGAATCCCCTTTGATCTCTGGGAAGAGCATATTATCGTGCATCACAAAAGTGGGATCACACAGTGTGATGTCAGATGGTACATTCAAGACTAGGAGGGATGGATTTGATAGTGCTTGTCACTGCCCTCCAAAATATATTACATGTATATTTTTGTACTGGGGTCTGAAAAAATGGTTGCTACGGGTTTTTAGCATGGTTCGGTTTAAACTTTGAAAAACTTAGTTCACCAACATACCTAACGCCTCTCAGTCTCAAGTGTATTTTTGCAGCTGATTTTAAAATGTTTGAGAATTATTGGGGGGGGGGCACATTCATATCTGCATATACGCAAGTGTACTCCAACATATAACTTAACATGCCAATTTTAGAAAAACAAAAAGGCAGACAGCTTAGCAAGTGCAGAAGCAGGACATTGATGAAAGCTGGCATACAGTTCCTTGGCATGGAAACTGGACCTTTGGTATGCGCATTTCTAATACAAGGTGCTTATTTTCCTGTTTAGGAAGTTTCTACTCTGCCTTTCTGTTCTAACTGCACTCAAGGAGGCTTACCAAATAAGGCTCCAACACAAATATAATACAAAAACAGCAAAAGGCAGGTAACAGCAGTTAATTGTAAAAGTGTAAAAGACATCCAAAAGCACAACAACATTGCCATCCTCAGCAAAGTTACACCCTTTTAAGGTCATTGAAGTCAGTGGGCTTAGAAGAGTATAAGTTTGCTTAGGATGGTGCTTTAAAGTACTAATGCAGTAATGAAAGTCATAAAACCAGCAATAAAATCAAGCCATCAGTAGTAAAAAAAAATCAGTAAGAGAAGTCAACAAAAATCGACCGAAGAAAGGCAGATCAACCTGGAAGATCAATTCAATACATTTCGAAGTGCCATTCAGAACAGTCTCACTGGCTCTCTACACAGCCAAATACAGTAAGGGGATAGGAAGAGCTTCCCAGGATAAGAAGTTCAAAAGCCCAGATGCCACAGTAAAAAGAAAAACAAAACCCCTCTATCATGCATTACACTTCATTTAACATGACCACATGGAACAGAGGCTGTTGATCTATGTGTGAATCCTCTTACAGTGCTTAATCTATTCTGTCCAGATCTGGATGTTTCATTATATGTGCAGATGCCTCTTAAAGCATCAGATTCTGGGTCTGCTATTGCACTCTCTGATACTGTCTAACGTGAGATTGTGCTGTGAGCTTCTTCCCCCTGCCTACTCAATTGGTTGCATGAGTGGACAAATTGACAATGTGATAGGTTTGTATTACTACATGATGTCAATAGCAGAGAAAGGGGGAGGTTATGCTTTTAAGGGTAGCCCTTTTGGAAGGAGAGCAAAAGTCTATCTAATTCAGTATCCTC